TTGTGTGAAATTTTTGTTGTTTTCCAAACCATCAATTATCCTTTATCTAACCAATTCGTTCGCCGTTAGCACCTGAGTCGAGCCAATGATTTATTCTTTGGAAAAAAAAAATACGACTCCACAAAGCCTAATCTAAGTGATAATTATACACCCATTCAACATGTGATAAATCCAATATATGTTTAGATACGCTCCTATATTGAATATACCCCTCCAAGATTTGACGACCTTACTAATATCATTAGGTATTGTGTGTCATTTACGTCAAAACGACAAAAGTAAAGCCGTACCTCCAATGGGTCTTTATATTCCCTAATTGATCGGCGAAATTTTTGCGTCAGATAAATGCCTTGTCTTCTGGAAAGATCGATTTTTTTCCATACACAGTTTATACTAATGGATATTTCAGTAAGTTTCGCAGGTTTTCAGAAGTTGTAAAGTGACAGACAGACCCTAAGCAGTCATGAAAAATCAAACGATTTATTGAAATACAAAACTTTTGACTGGTTGAGTTCTTTTCTATGGTTGAATACCAAAGAATTATTTAGGTGAAGATTCAATACTCGATATAATCATTGGAAAGAAGCCCTTAACTTGATCCACAGTGAAACCTTTGGGAAACAAAATTTCGCCATAAAACGACAAAGAGACAATTTTAGTGTCTTACTTCTTTGAATGCGCAAGAAATTGTGGGATCTTAAGGTCAAACTACAAAAGAATATGTTTGGCTCATTGCAATTAAAAGCGAGTTAAGGAATTGCTCGTGGCAAATTAACAAACACTTGTTTCCTCTAAAAATCATTAATCCTTCAAAAACATGTACAAAATCAAGATAATGTGGATTTCTCTTGATATAAGCTAACTTGATAAACATGCGGTCTAATTTCACGTTAAGCATTTTTTCTATCCTCTATTGCATAGTTATGCTCAAGTCGTCAAGGATCGATGAATAAAACGAATGAAACTCTTGATAAATTTTCGTAATATGTACTGTTTTGTTATCTTTGTTTTTTTCACTTCACCATTTACCATTTTTCATTTGTGTAAAGGTCCTCAAGGGTCGAGTTATGAAACAAATTTAATTCTCTATAAATGAATATTCATTACGTGCACTATTTGCTAAACACCGATCTCTAATCCATAATGCTAAGAACCTCTTAATTCAACTGAAGTGCGTTTGAATTGCAAGTTCTTTGGCTAGTTTCCGGGAAAGTTGATCGAGAGTTTTTGAAATGATACCACCAGTTTGATAGAATCAAATTGCTTGGTACGCGATTTATCATATCACGGTACGTTCTGGCTCTTTTAGGTTAAAATAGAGTTAAGCAAGTTGGTTCAGACAAACTGCTAAAACTAAAATCTGGAAACAAACTTTCAAAGATGTGATTCTATTGACAAAACCTACTTATATAAAATATTGTTATTATTCGATGTTACCTCTTGTTTTTTCACTTATCAGTATAAATAGTCATGTTGCGGTTGTCAGGGTTGAACTGTAAACCAATTAAAATATCGATAAAATCTTAATGTTGCCATTTTTTCTCTCCATTTATACGCAGTCATGTTTGATTCGTTAAGGGAAGATCTATTAAACTAATTACGTGGGCTATTAACATAGAAGTTGACTCTTGAATAATCTTTTAATTTTTTGAAATGCGTTTGAATGGTACATTTTATGGTAGGTTTCCGGTGAAGTTGATCGAGAATTTATAAAATGTTGCAACCAATAAGATAATATCGACGCCCTTAGCAATCGGTTTATCTCAAGCGGCTGCATCAAGGGCATGTGAGGGGCGGGGTTGGGTTGCAATTTATCGACTGTTGACTAAAGATGGCCCTTAGGTTATAACACTTCAATGGAAAAGGAACTTGGGATTCATACCATCTGAAGATTTTGGTTTATCGAACTTCACACTTTCAAGATCTAACTAGATTCTCCCTCCAGCTACTAAGTATTTCCTTGTAAACTACTGAGGAGAAACTAGTTCTTCATCAAGATAAGATGTAACTGAATTAAAAAGCTCGGTTTTTTTTTCTCTTCACCAGTTACTGTATAAAGTATTAACATCGTATAAATGTGCTTTTATACAGCAACTCCACAAGAAGTATCAGTATGGGTTGTGATGCTACACAAACGCCTGTTGACTCAAACTGATGATAAAATTTATTGCATGGCTAGCCGTGCGTATATCACGGTCGACAAACAAAATACTAAAGCACACTTTTGCTTTGCCGACTGTGCACCATAGCGTGCTCCTCCGTGACTTTTAATTAGTGTTTACCTTTACAAGAATTACAAGGGTTTTAGCATCAAATTGTTGCGTTTACAGGGCTGTAGATGCAATCAGCTCCAACCGATCAGGATGGATTGCGGAAAAGACGAGGATCGAAAAAAACCAGGTATTTTCACAAGTAAGGATATAATTTAACCGTACAATCCTAAGCTCACAGAAGAAGCAGAGTGAAGTTTTCAAACCTTTAAACAGTTTAGAGGGCTTTATAAGGGTGGTTATTATTTCTCGAGAGCGAGACTCTCTGTAGGCCAGAGTCAATCACTTTCTTGAAGGCATTACAAACATCGCGTTATTCAAATGAATGTATAGTTAAGTCCCGCTTACGATGAGATAAACATCATATCTACAAAAAGAACAGAAGAGTTGAGAGGGACCCATGGGAACAGAATTCCCTTGGTCAAGTCAGGACATTTTAAATAGATTCTACTATGGTTTGGTTACCTCCATTTATATCGCACTTTAGATAAAAGTGTGCGTTTACAATCTCTCTGATCTTTCCGCAAAGCAAACTAGTTCAGAGTTGTTGATCTAGACAAAATATCAGTGAGAAAGGAAGCCTCAAATTTCTCCTTTCTGGTCCCACTTTAATTGAAAAATACAGTTTCACCGGACACAAACAAGAGCCTGAACACAGAGAAATTTGAGTGAATCATCTATTGTGTTCCCAGCAATTTGTTTGCTCGTTTAATAAGCTTAATTATGCTGATAATGAATCAATTTAGAGTAAACTAACTTCCTATTTTTATCAGCCTTGAGAGACAACGGTTTTACGAAACAGTATTCATGAAATAAAGATCAGAAGATAGCGCTGTAACTTCCATCCATAAAGTAGTTTTCCATGTTCATCAAATTGCCGTGAATCACATTTATGTGCTTCGAAAAAAACGATAGACAGCATTTAAAAAGGTTTAGCAGACCAAGGCAGATTTGATTTCAATTTGACAACAACTTCACCTGTTTTCCATGATGCAAAAATAGAATTGCGAGGCCAGAATTTTTATCTATTCGATCTCAAGTTTGAAGAATGAAAAGAGAGTAAGCCACTCGCGTTATGATCGTCAACACGTTTGGTAAATCATTCGTTTGTGATTTATAAATAACCAAAAGGTCATAACGTGTGGCATACCCTTGAAAATGACAGTTGTCGGTAGCAGTTATCAATAAACAGTAGAGTTTATGTTAGCGGGCATAAATATGTCTTGGACTTGACACAGAGTCATTTTAGCCCGAGCCGTTTGGCGAGGATTAAAATGAAAGAGGTGAAAGAATACCATAGACGTTGCTCTACAGAAATGTCTCAACTAATTATGTCCGGGAGTTTAGGGCGAGCTGTATTTTCATTGCACTGTACAATTTTTTCTAATTTTTAAGTCAGTGGATTAACCGTAAATGTTTAACCATTCAAATCGCACTTTCTATCGGTTTACCGGCGTAATAAGCCTCTTAGTCGAGAAAATTTTGTAATTCACGAACCGGACGGCGAGTGATTTGCAAACTTTTCGAGTGTTTTCCCAAAATTCTAAATGGGTTATTACGCCGGAAACCGTTAGAGGGTGCGGTTTCTTGCTTTTGTGAAATGACTTCAAGGTTATTAGTTCAATAAACGATATGTTTTTGACCAATCAGGGTGCTCGCAGTATCTAAGAAATTTAATAATTAGTTGCACAAGTCTTTCTTTCTTTTAAGTCTGTGGATGGAAAACCTATAGTGTTGTTTGACCATGTGAAAAATGCCATCGAGCAGATCTTTCATGTAGTAATGTACTTGAAGTTCAGTTTATTTGTTCAGAGTGGATCTCAATTAGGCGTGAAATCTTTTAGCAAATAATTAGATCGCCCATTCCTACTAGCTTATTCTCATCGATTTGTTTATCCCAAGCTATAACTATAAATATATATTTACTCTATAATTTTGTAACTTTCAGCATGAGTAACTATGTATGCGTAGTGCAATTTCTTAAGAGCAAGAGAGTCTATAGCATGATACTTAGCGATTTTGTTTGTCTCGATTTCATTTGATTTTATGCAGTATTTAACGGGATATTTTTACTCTTATAAAAAAATGTCGTGATAACCGCAATTCACGTTCCGTTGCAACCTTCTTGTAATTACTTAATAAAATGCGCGCAATGCGAAGAATTTTAATTCAAATGAAATCCTTTTCATCGTTCAGCCCATCAAACAACCAACTTAAACCACCCAGGCATTTGAGGTTGCTCTTCAAACTCTTGAGTTTTATCTCGTTCAAACTTTATAAGAATAAATACAGACGGAACTGATCACCTCGATACGGGTGACTAGAATGACGTCATCTGGTGCGTGTGGTGGCAGTTCGAGGCCATAGGTTACGTTAGCGAATGGTACACAAACACGGCGATCGCTTGTTTGCTTAAAGTTACGAAAGAATACAGGAACTACGAAAGAATATATGAGTAGGGTGCTCTTTATTTGACAGGATTTGGAACAGCTGTGATTTTAAACGTGATTTAACAATGTGTATTAATAATAAACATATTATTGAAGCATGCATGAAACATGCTGTATCATGGCAATTCCAAGCCTACCCGAGGCAAATCAAACAATCAAAAATACGGCAGATCAACAAATATACAGACGTCTTTTTTCGGCCAATTAAACAAAAGGCTTTGTTCTTTTGTTCGAAGCTGTCAAGCCGATTAAGAAATCATTCAAAGTCCTTTTCAAAAGGTGCAGATTTTGAATTCTTAATTGTACCCGACAGAACCGTTCAAGGGATCAGTGGAGATTACGTGTAGGGCTAGAACACGGAACAAACTTTCTTGATCTCGTGAGCTGCAAGAGATCTTTTGTTTTGACAAAGGCTAAGAATATCTGTATATAAAAGAACGCGTGACTCTCAGTTTGTTAAGAAACGACTGGCGCTGCAAGTGAAAAGTTCAAGTTTTCAGGATTGTAATTTGCGACATTAAGACTTGAAGTGAGCTCTCGTAACGATGTTCTCGCAAAAAGGACTTCAGAGACATCCAGTAAATAAGTGGAATGAGCGAGATGTCTGCAGATGGCTGAAGAAAAGAGGGTTGGGAAAACTTTGGAGAAATTTCCATGGTAGGCATATAGATGTTTGTATGAGCTGCGCGACTTCTTCGCCTCACTTAACTTAAGACAAATAAGTTCACGAGGAAATTAACTTTTGCAGGTAAACCACTGTACTCTAAAGGATTGACTTTTTAATTTTGTTTTTCTTATTAAAGATAAAAAGATTGATGGCAAAGTTTTACTACAAATCACAAGTCAATATCTTGGTAAGTATACATTACAATATGCATTATAGGTTGGACCATTCATTTTAAAATGATCTTAGTAGTCACATATCACTCGCGCAAAACAGGGCGGCTTTTTTCTGTAACAGAACTTTCCTACATTAAATAGGTCGAACAACGATATATTCGGCCAATTTTTTTCTCAAGCCTAATCGGCCGGTCAAAGACCTTAAACCCGGTCATCAACAAATCGCTAGGAAGCCGTCACAGCTTGTAAAATTCATAATTATTTATGTAATCTGAAAACGTGCGTCTCTGAATACTACCAACACACAGAAAACCATTCATCTGAATCCATTTAAACACACGCGATTCGTGTCGCAGAATATCTAGTTAATCCTAGCACGCTAAAACTTTCTATAAATAAACTCAGCAGCTCTCACTTTCATGTATTTTGGTGGAATATGTTTTGTTTTTCTTTAAGACGAGATCAGATGACGCGCATAGGCATATAATCGCATGTCTGGCAAAGTTTCATATTATTTCACGCTACAACTAAAGAACAAGTCTCACTACGTGCAATATTTTTCCAATAGTTTTCCATCGTTCGATCATTGTCCGACTGTTTTACCAAAACCCTTCATATGTGTACAAGCAGATTGACATATTAAGATTCCTGGTATTGTTAGACACTAAGTCACGTACAGGATATAATTTCAAAATATTTTGTTAGCAAACTTAACTCAGGAAATTAAGGCTGACGTAACGCTTACGGCAAACAACCCTTCCCGGTTACGCAACAGAGTCACGTGTTGAATTAGCGGTCTTCATCAAACTCATATGCGTTATTGATCGAGTGTTCGAAAGTGTATATTAACCAATAAGATATTGGCTGAGCTTATTTTTGGAACCATCCTTTCGGCCAAATTGTGGACCGCAATGAAACTGAGGTCCTTAGAAACGGTAATGACTATGACAAAAAAAGGTCCCCAACTTTCTCGAACTTAAGCTTGAATAATGAAGGATTCGAAGCGAGCATTTAATTCGAAATGAAAGATACTACCCCATAACGTGACTCATTCAATTAAACGACACGATCCACACGAGCTCACCAGTGCATCGCGAGACAAACTAGTCAATTTGTAAGTACTTTAGTGAAAGTAAATTCAACACGATGAAAGACCACCATTCTTTTTTTCATGATTTCAAAGCGAACAGTATAGGTCGATCTTGCTTGCACTTGATCAGTTAACCAATAACACACTTCTTCGTGTAATCTTGCTTGTGGAGCCAGCCTAAAAAGGTCTTACTTGCTAAACGGCAAGTACGGTAAATTCACATTTGAAATACTGAACTCTCTCATTTAAATCAACTTTTTAAATGTGGTAAACCATAGAACTACACTTGTGAAAGCTTGCAGAGGACAGTTAATCAAAATCGACCGACATTCGTTATTTTCACCATCGGGGTTTTTCAAATTTAACTGCTCTCCGTTGCATGGCCGATTAGCACTTGTTGGACGTATTTCAGCGCATTTTGCTCCAGGACTTTCGTTCTCTAGCCCAGTCTTGGTTAAAAAGATGAAATAATCTTCAATTGTGCTTACAGTTAGAGTTGCGTGTAACTCTACCTGTAAAAAGAACAATGCATATTACCATTCTGTTACGTTTGACTACCAATGAAAAGCGAAGGCGAGTGTTTGTGAACTTTTGCTTATAACAAAAGACAGGCCAATTCGTTTAACGAGGGGTAAACCCTGTAGAGACCCGGGTAGGGGAAGGCTGCGTAAAAACAACCCGTGGGGTTTTAATCTCCCTCTATAACCTTTTATTTGTTTCGCTCTTTTTTAAATTTGTTTCTACGACGCAATAGCGCACCACCGTCCTCTCAAAATGACTTTTATTCACTTATCTTCAGTTAAACGAATATGTTTTTTTTTCTCCTTTTTTTTTTTTCTTTTCTTTTCTTTTTTTTTTTTTGAACAATTTTGGGTTTAATGTTAAATGGGACATTTTTTCGAATAAACAATTTTCAGTTATCTATTTTTCCTTTTCCTCTGTTATATTTCAACAAGAAAAGCACTGAACGAAAAAAGATTTACATTCTTTATGTATTTAGAAACTGTAACAATGTAGCGTTGAACTGTGTCTCCTTGTCAAAGGGGCAAACAGGATAATCGGAGTCATATGACAATTGGCTGAGTCCTCTCTCAAAAATTAGATTATCATAGGTCGGTTATACTTGATTGCGAAAAAAGGGACAAAATGGTTTAAATATTTTTTTTTTGCCCAGATCACATTATGTTTTCCTGAAGTTTAAGCCTTCTTTTTCATGTCGTGTTTTATTAGGTGATCGATATTTGAAACTGAACACCACTAATCCTACTTATTGACTGACAGGTTCACTAGATTCCGTGACTTATTTGACGCTCGAATGTCTGAAACAAACAAAATGTTTGAAACATTAAAATCACACGGAATTCACCTCAAGAAAATAACCGAGTTTTTAAAAATCTTCGTATGATTCCCCGTACAAAAACGCGACAGAATCTTCCATCGTTTGTTAGGCGTTCGGATTAGCGTGCTAATCCCCAAACAAACCGCTAAATGTTTTTAAACGCACTGTTGAGCCTGGCAAAATTGTCAAATACTTTACACCTTGGACGGAAGCCATTTGAGTGCAAAAGTCGCGTACCTGCTCTGTTAAAACTCAAGTCACCGAATACAGATCAAATATTATCGTTTTAAATCTGGTTATGGCGTTGCCCACACCACATGTCTGCATAAATTCCTTTGCCATCAATTATCTCGATGATTAGTGTTCTCTCTCGAGACAGATTACCGACCGGATTCTATTACAAATATTTCTAGTATCTTAGCAGCAAAAAGATCTGCGACCAAGTCGCTTGTGTATGATCATCTTCTCCCGGATAAAACATGAGTGTTTTCTTCTCTGACTATGGAGTTACGAAAGGTAAGAAATCTTGGGTCCATAATCTTGCCCTGTACCGACTAAAAGTTTGATTTCCGAATGCTACTTAACACATCGAAAGGTACTGAGGTATTTTGTTTTCTGGCCCATATACTATTGTTTAAAACGATCTCATTGTGGGAGTTTTTTCGCGTTGTAAAACCATTCACACGAATTTTCTTGCTTTGACTTGCCGTGGGTTTTTCAGACTATATAGTTGAGAGTAAACAATTGTTGATTTCTGGTCGGAGGAAAGGCACATCGTTACGACGATCAGGAGTACTTAAAACGTGTGTGTGATCCTAGCTTGGTGTTCCAGTGTATTTCAGTTTGAGTGCTACATTTTAGACCGCTTGTGAAGATGACTTATACATCGAAAATAAAGGGCTATAAGGAATGGCTATCACACACGCGCTTCGCCTTACTAGGTTACTGTCGAAAAATTAGCATATTTATCCTCATCTCACAAGGAGGCCTTGATATCATTCCTCGGATTAAATAATTTCAAAACGCCTTCAGTCTTCTCCGACAGTAAATACTCGGCTGAGTTAATTTATTATGTCTTCAGTCTTTCCCGACAGTAAACACCCAGCTGAGTTAATTTCTTTTGCCTTGTCTCCGTAGTTTTTCATAGGCATTCGATATGTCAAATCAAATTAATGAACTACGTTCTCGTTGAGGGATTTTCTAATTTTAAAGATTAAAGTAAAATGCCGAAGAAATAATACTTAGGCTGCCTTAGTCATGAGCTTGATTCGCTTGGTAACCTCCTTCGGGCGACAGTTGAGAATCATTGCAGTGTCTGCTAAAACTCTGCCAAAATAAATAACATTTTTATGAAGGTGCCAGGTTCTCAGAATAAATTAATAGCGAAATAGAGCTGCGTGAGTTTAACCTGATTAGACAGATCCTTGAGATGCCGACCACAAAAAGTAATGTGTCAACAGTTTCCGTCCATCTTTTAAGGATCCTTATTTACACATTATCATACTTTTTGGTCGAAGGATTAAGATATTTGCCTGCGTAGCGATCAGAAAGTCGGGCGAAGAGACAAAGCGAACACACGTGGAGCCCCTTTCATCCATGCGTGCGTGACTCCCTTGCACGCGCGCACATTTTTAATACGTGTAATGCTGGAGATGAAGCCAGCGTTCAGTACATTCATTCAGTACGCAGAACACATGTGAAAAAAAAAAACGGTATTCGTTATGTGTCGTTTAATTAAAGACATTTTCTAACTGATCTTTTGAAACACGGGTAAGGTTATGGCGCGCGTGGAACAAACAAGCTTATCGAGGAAACAGCCTTCCTCATTAGCACTTGGGAAAGAGAAAGTTTTGATTTTCATTTCTTAAATATCTTATTGCATTTCCAGATCGCCTCGGAGTATCAAACCCAACATCACGTGATAAGCTTTTAGCAGCTGTTCACGAACTCAAGTTGTTTGGGGGCTCTATTCCAGATGAGAGAATGTTTCGCAGTCCACGGCCCAAAAGGAGGTCCCTTCCAGCCCGGCCTGTCGGCATGCAAGAAATTTTACTAAAGGGAGCGTTGTCCGATTCGACAGAGAAAGGTAACTCAGCAGTTAGTATAGTTGATTGATGTCTGGAAAGCGAGCCTGGTTTAGGAGTTTGTGCACTGGACTCGGGAGAGCCGGGCTCAAGCACTGAGCACTGGGGTGACTGGTCTTTCTGCTATGTTCATGGGCAAGGCAGTTTGTTTTTATTCTGAATTTCTCCTGGGACTGACAAGAAACGAGTACCGGAAAATGTTGAGGAGACCTGGCGAAATGCTAGAGATATGACGGCAACGAACTTGCGTCATGTCACCCAAACAAAATTAAAGTTACAGTAGCCGAAATATGATCTGGCGGTGTGGGTCATCTAGTTTCTATAAAGATGTCACTTCTGTAGAAAAGCTCTGATTGATTTAATTCCATTTTCTGGCATTTGCTTCCAGGGGTGTCTGAGAGAGAACTCGTGGAGAGGAAAACACCGCAGAGGGTTCTTCAAGAACAGACTGAGGAGATGTTATCTGAGCCAGAGAAGGTGATTTACTACGTCATTGAGAACGAAATAGCACTGGGTTTTTAAGAAAGGTGGGAGACGCTTAGGCCTGGTGGCTAATGTACTGCACTCCAGCTCGAGGGGCCCGGGTTCGAGTGTTAGCCATGTTGCTGTGTTGTGGTGCTGAATAATACGCTTTGCTTTACAGTACCCCTTTTTATGGCCACCCATGAGCATAAATGGTTATCCGTTAACTGTTAGTGAAACCTATTAAAATCCCGAGAGGTCACTTACAATGGATATTTTACTGTTTAGGGGGAGAAGCAGAATTTCTATTCCCTTCCTGCTTCCAACGGAAATAGACCATAATACTGATTGACCTATTTTGTGGAAGCAGACTCTCTGATAATAAAATTAAACTCTAAATTGATTTTTAGGGAACAGTGCAAGTGCGCACACCTGGACTAACCCCTGACACCGAAATTACAAACATCGAAATCACCAATCGGACAACAAGGTACGATATCTTTACAAACCGACGCATTTTAAGGTGGCTCTCACAATTTTTACTTCAGTGAATAAATATTGTTATTAAGATTTAATGCAAAATTTAAGGACTTTTCAGACAGGTCGTGTCGTTGCTATGGTTAACGTTTAATACATACCATCTCAAAATTGGACATCCACTGGCAGAGGGTAGTGGCACCTACCCCATTGTAGCTCAAGTACTGTAAATTGTTTCGAGCCACCTTAAAATAAGCCACATAACAAACTCTGCTTTGTCTGCAAAATGTTACGCTGAGTTTTTGCTCATTCTGTGCAATTTTACCTTTGTTCCAGTAAGGAGCTAGTCCATATGCTGCTAGAGAAGTATCATGAGCTTTCAAAGGATCATAATCTGTTTTATATTGCGGTGGAGATTGAAATTCAGAAGAAAGGTATTTTTATTGACTGGTTAGATTGATTGACTGGCTAACTTCTGAATGACTGACTGTTTGCCTGACTGACTGACTGATCGTCGACCTACTGATTCACTGCCTACCTTCCTGACTGACGGTTTGGAGCCCTCCCTGAATGTCTCACTGCTCGATTGACTGACTGATAGACTGATAGACTGACTGACTGATTGAGTGACCGACTGACCGACTACCTGACTAACTGACTGACTGATTAACAGACACACTGACGGACGAACCGACTGCCTAATTGACTGATCGTTTGAAGCCCTGACTGTCCGCCCGCTCGATTGCATGGCTGATGACTGACCGTTTGGGTGACAGTCCCACTGACTGTCGGACCGGCTGACTTACTAAATGCCTAGCTTACTTTCTAGCTAACCTACTAACAAACTGACTGACATACTGGGAGGCCAATCGACTGATTTGACTTGTCGTCAAACTGTTAAGCTGTATGACTGTCTGACTGACCTCTAACCTTCTAACTGATCGACTAACTTAGCTACTTTAGGAGCTCGTGACTTCCTACTAATTGATTGATTGATTGATTGATGGACTAGCCGAGCGACCGATGGATTGATTGCCTTACCGCTTTTCTGACTGACTTACTGCTTCACAGACTGACTGACGGACAGGTAGCAGACTTTCTCATACAATAGTTTCTCTTTCCTTTGATTAGATTCTAGTCTCCCGATGTCACAGATGATGGTACTGGCTGACGATGCCCGTCCTTTGCAAATTCAATCCCGTCAACCAACAGGGGAGGCCAAGTAAGTCAACCACATCGAAGCCATTCTCCAAGGAAAGGTTACTCTACAGTCAAACTGCTGCATAGCATACAACTATTTTTAAATGTCAAAAAGACACAAGAGACGCATAGTAATGAAAATTTCCCAACAAAACCGAAACTATTGAGGGATATTACGAAAAGCCAAGAGTTATGAGTCATATGTTATGACGTCACTTAATCGTATCCACAACAAGGTACATGTAACCAAAACAATCGCGATTTGCCGTGCAGATCTACACGATACAGTCACGCAAGACTGGCCATCTGTGACCATCATAGGAGGCAGTCACGCAACACACTCGCTTGAATGATTTTTATAAAATATCTATAGTTAGAGTTTGTCTTAGGAAAGCCTCACTCTTGGCTCGATTTAAGTAGCTTAAAGTGAAGTCTAACACCGTATTTTATTCTGCTGAATATCATATCTATTGCGACTTTTAGACGTACTTTCATTTTCAGTAAAACGTGGTTAAGATATGGTTCAGTGATATGACTAATTTACAAAACCACAGGGAAAGATAAAAACTTTATTATAAAGGGCGTTGTTTAAAATCATGTGCACGCCACGGGAGATTGTATTTACGTGAGCTACATTTACCATATACCATGACAAATATCATAAGTATCATGATTTCTGTTGAAGATTGTTAATATTGACACCTAAGCATAAGTCATCGTATGCAGGGTAAAAGCGTAATTCATACACTTCACCCCCTCTTCATTTAAGTGAAGGGATCATCGGAAATCATTACTTAAATTTGTATCGTTTTTTGTTAAAAGATTTCATCTGAAGATGAGAAGCGGCGGACTGCTAAGAGTTCAAGCTGGAATTTTGAGCCCTGGGGTAAGTTTTTTTTTAAACTGAAACAGTCATTACGTAAAGGAAGTTAGCCGACCTCTCTTTAAGTTTCTCACGTTCATTCGAAAACAGTAAATAATATAATTATGCTGAATTATACTACTGGGCTTGAAGTACTTATTAGGGTTTGGGTTAACCACAAGCGATCGTTCATTACCTGTTTTAATTTACTATGTCAACCATCTCTTAGATCAACAGAATGAATTAAAATCAATTGAGTCGACTGTTATCATTATATTTTCGATCTATTTTGGACGAGATTTAAAAACCATTCTTATTACATAAAGGATAATGATTTTATTACAATTCAAACACAGAACATGCAAGGGATAGATTTCTCTTTTTCATCTCCATGAGAATAAAAATTCTCCGGTTGACATTATTGCAGTGTGGTTAAAACTGTGCCTAAGACAGATATGGCGATGCAACCTTTGAAATCGCACAATTCTGCCCACAGCAAAAGCGAAGGAAGGTTTTTTTTAATGAGCTTTATCGTGCCTCTCAGTCCCAACGTATTTATTGTTTTTTTTCTTCATTTCTTCTTCTAGGCAACCTACAAATGCGTGCAGATATCTCGGAAAACCAGAGCTGACGAGGTCGTAAAGATGATTTTGTCTAGCTATGGCAGCGATGCGCCCCCTGAGAAGTTTGTCCTAGTGGAAAGATTGTCAGATTCAGAAGGTAAACATTGCCGTAGAGGATCATGAAAATGCGTGCAAAATCTGCGCTCAAATAACTAGAGTTGTAGGAGAAATTTTAGATTATGCGTCAAAAGTAAAAAAATTCTAGACTGCAATGGTTTTGCTTTATTTCGCAATTTGATGGGTCTAAAATCCCCAAACGCCTCGCAATTTCCCGCGCTTGACGCTGTTTCCCGTCTTTACTATCTTCCCATTGGCTCCTTGTGATAGTCACCTTAGTTTCGGTTGGCCAACGTTGGTCACCGTTGGTCAGCTTGTGATTACATTGGTTTTTGGTTTTGCGACACTGCGGAAAGTTATCTGAATTAAAGAGGTGATCAGCAAAGTTTTTCGAGAGTTCTTCTCTCTGGTGATATTTCTAAAAAACTATCTTTCTTTTAATGGTGGTCTTGCATGCTTTAAACAAGTTTTTTTACTTAATTTTTCTTTCAGCTGGTCGTATCTTAGAGGCAGACGAGTGTCCATTAGAAGTACAGTCTCAGTGGGAGACTGGTGATCAGGGAACGTTCACTTTAACTCAAGCCGAGTTTGAGGTAATCATTGTTAACAGTTATAAAAGTTCTTCAAAACTTTCAATTTGCCAAAGAGAAATGTTTTGTTGTAAGCATGGGACAACGAAAATAATCTTACCATTGATGGATGGTGTACTTTGCACCATCTAAAATCTGAGGACTCGAACCTCAGACCTTCGATGTAGTGGTCGTCGTCATAGTCTTATATGGTAGTGAAATTAATAAGCTCTTTCTTTTGTCCAGGGTGTCCTCCTTAGTGACGAAAAGAATCCACCAAATCAACAAGGATCTTCTAGTGACAACGAAATGAACACCACAAGTGTTAGCGACCAAAAAACTACCTCGTCCGCTTCAGAAACAGAAGACAAGGAAAATATGGAAGAAGCGCGCAAGGGCCAAACTTCAATCGATGCGTTAGACTTACAGACTGTCAATCAAGTCAAGCGTAAAGTTTCGCAAATAGACAATTTGAGACACAAATTCCAGGAATACCAGGAATTCCATGGGAACCACAAGAAGACCACTCAATCGAGTTCAAATGAAGCATTAGTTCAAGAGCCTAAGAAACGCAAAGTTTCGCAGATTGATCTCTTCAGGAGCAAATTTCTAGCGTATTATGGTGGTAAAATGGAAGGGCCTGGCGATTTGGATCCGTTGAGTGAGATTGTGAAGGCCAGCGAAACTGCTGGCAAAAATGGACTAAAAAAGAAATCGTCTCCATCGCGATCCCCTTCGAGTGAACATTCTGATGGTGAAGAACTACCACGTTTCTCATCTTCACCTCCTCCATACCTCAGGGATAACAACAACAACAACAACAATAATAATGATAGAAACAAAAGCAACGGCAGTAAAATTAACGACGCTTCACTTAAAGACTTGAAAATTAAGAACAACAGGAAGGATCCTGCTCCCGAGATATCACATCTACCACGTCTTAGTTTAGCAAGTGTTCTTCAACGCTGTAAACTCATGACTGTGATTCTCAACAGAGAAGCAGAGGAGTCTTGGGGCATAGAGCTAGTTCACGTCACTAAAACAGGGTCTTCGGTGAGCCCGAATGATAATAACGAGAAAGACTGGGACGATGAGAAAGTAGTTTATGTTCAACATAACGGACCCGGACAGAACTCGATTATAAACACGTCTTGCGCAGGCAATGTTGGTAATCAGTTGTCTGAGCCGACCTCACCCCTCTCCGAGAGCTCATCAGGTTCCAGCGAGCAGGAAATAGCGACCATTTTAGGAACAGAGGAACGATCAAGATCTGTGACAGAGAAGTCGAGTGAAGACATGCGCCATATTGTACACAAACAGAACATTCACAGAAGAATGGGAACCATAATGAAACCTGCCTTAAGTCCCATTTCATCGAGGCCTTGTTCAGCATCTCAAATGCGACCCTCTAATCCCTTAACGCCAAGACCCTCTTCCGCACTTGCGCAATGGAAAAAGGAGGGCAGTCCTCAGCCTCGTCCTGGTGTGCGCATTGTGGCACTGACGGAGGGAGGGGTGGCGGAGAGAAGCAAAGAACTGGCTGTGGATGATTTGATTGTCGAGGTAAGGAAAAAAATGGATTTTCCTGACACCAGAATTTCATTTCTAATGCCTTTTCACCTGTATACTAACTCAGGTTCGTGATTGCTCCTCAGATAAATGGCCAGTTCGTGCTCAACTCTCCACTAGAACCTGTCATCGCTGCGATGAAAGAAGCTGATTCAGTTTCTCTTGTTGTGGCGAGATCCAAGCTCTCTGAAGTAAAACCGGAAGTAAGTATTCACTATATCTAAGTCAGATCAGCTATTGATAATCAGAGAACATTTCTATCGACTTTCATAAAAGCAATCATTATGTTGTCACAACGACCAGTCAGAACAAAGGAAAAAATCACAACTTATTAACGATCCATCACCAATTCAGATCTAAGTAGTATTTGTAAACGACCTTTGCGCTGGAAAACCTGAGTGAGCCTGCTGCCAGATTAAGTCCAGTTTCTGATTCGTCAATAGGTTGGCTTGAGGGTTTTAGAACAATTACAGGGCGGAGAATGCGAGGCCAACGCAATCCCGTATTTCTTTTGATACTCACTGAAAATTGCTTGTCAAGAAACATACAGTAAGACGTACCTCTTGCTTGGAAATTCACGACACGGATGGTCAATAAACGCTTTAATTATTAGTTTTCGCACGTTGAACACATGATTTATCTATGAGCATACCCTATGTTACACCCTGGGTTAGTGATGCTGTTTTAACGAACCATTCTTTTCCTCTCCATAATTTCTTGCAGGAAAAAGACAATAAAACTGATTACAAAGACGATATCAAAGCCTTGACGCTGCAGATACAGAATCTTGTGACTAGAGTCAGCGAGATGCAGAACGACTTGAAAAAGAAAGACGACAAAATAAAAACCCTGAAGAAAATGGTCAAGAAAAATAGCGGAGACGGAAAAGGGAAAATTTACGAGTCTGTTCAAGTACTTGTTTAGCAATCTGTGAAACGCATCTCACCACGTGTCGAAAATAGGGGGGGGGGCTACTTTGTATGGGCGTGGCAGGGGGGAAACTCCAATACCAATGTCTCGCAGGCATTTAGGGCCATACCGGCTTTCTTTACTTTTAAGACAGAGAATTTCACTCTTACAAGAGAAGTGGAGGGTTACGTGCGCCCAAGACAGCCCATTTCCCTTTTTTCCGAGCAGGTGCTTCGACCAGGTTTTAACTGACACGAATCACAGTCAACTTAGGAAATGAATGTGTAGATAGCTAGGCATCGTCCCCAACAAACAGAAATATTTAATACTTTGACATATTTCAATCAGAAGGCATCAAAGGTATATCACAGAACACTCAAAACCTAGCCTTGGCCTTAGGCTAAAAGTCCACTTAATTTCACCCTTTAACTCCCAAGATCTCATTAAAAATTCTCCTTACTGTCTGCAATACAATTCTTATGATGTTTTTTCCTGAGAATTTGGTATTGGATCAACTGTTAATCCCCTGATTGATACTTTTATTGGTTCTCATCACTTTTTATTGATATTGTAAGGAGAAATTCTGTCTTGGTCACTCATGGGAGTTAAAAGGTTAACGCAGTTAAAAATGTATCAAATATTTATGTCCTCATCATACAAAAAATTAAAACTCGCCAAAAATTTTATTTTAAGGACAGTAAACAACATTTTACTTACCGTCGCAAAGAGCGCAAAATTTTCTCAGTCAGAATAATTCGTGAAATAAAAAAGATGTGAAATTTCATTTTAGACTCACTCAGACGAAAATAATGACGCGAGAATAAATAACGTTAGCGTTATATTTTACGCAACATCTAAAAAGAACAAATTTTAAGACAGTTGGTCATCATATTATAATGGACACTATATTACTTACATTTATAAAATAAATTTAAGATATTTACAATGAAAGTTTGTCACTGTTTACATCTGTCTGTTAAAAACTCTTTGATCCATCTACAATAATGAAGATTGTCAGTCTTAAGTGTATGGTTAACTTCTCTATCTGCATGCATCTTCAAGTTTCCTTTTTTGGCTTTGTTCGTCTTTTTCCCAACGAGACTTGACGAACGTTGACGAGGGCCGAGGGCAGAGGGCAGAGGGCAGATGACAAAAGTCGGAATAATTTAAAGAATTCATAAGAGGTAACGACAGTCTACGAAGACTGACGAGAGTTGACGATGATAAACGAATGTGCCCGGTAACTCCCCTAGGATTTCTTTGGGTCTCCTTAAAACCAAACTTGAGTACATGAGTTCCCTGTTTATAGTTTGACAGCACGTTGATGATAAACACTTGAGGGTAATTCACCTCCAAAAGTTAATTCCTGTGCTCATCCTCAATTATTTTTCTAATGGCTCGGACATTTAGAGCTTTAATTCACTGCATAGTCTATCCAGCGGATGTGCACACGTCTTCACGGCGACGGTGAACATACCTAAAATTCAATTCGCTCTTTGCCACATTTCCGGTGATTCCATTCAGCGAGGCAATACTTGACATCTTCGAGGGCCAAAGTACCTTTGTCGTAAATGTACATGAAATGTAGGGCTCAGTTTCGGAGTCAGATTCGCGGAGTTATTTGCTAAGGAAAGACTCCAGTGCCGCTGATGTCCTCTGAACAGAATTGATATTTCGACGAATGCGGTCACTAACACTGGAGGTTTCCTTAGAAGAGAACGACTGAATTTTCATCTCTCTGTTGAGGGTAAAATTAATCAAACAATAAGCTGTATCCCTTATCAACAACAATTCATTCTACAATAGCGCCATCTTTGTGTGGGTTTCGACATCTATTTCAATGAGAACTCAAAGTTGATGTGCATGGGAGAGTGGTATCAAGTTTCGAGCGATAGCAGTTTTTCATGAGGTCGAGTGGAGACACCAAAATTTAACTGTTCTGTATACATTTCTTAAAGTGCTGAAAAGGAGAAATTGTTTATAAATCAAGAGCTTCTTTGGTTGGTGATCATTTCCTTTATTCTCATGACCTTAGTGTGTCATTCAGGGGTGATATTGTAAGGAGAAATTAGATGCCTGTCACTCTTTGGAGTCAAAAGGCTATTTAAACCATGAAAAGTTCGATGTCTGAACTCGACCTGAGTGGTAAAATCCAGTATATTCGACAATCCATTAAAAAATCACTTTCACGTCGACAAAATAAGTCCTCTAAAAGAAAAAAAAACATTAGCCACAGTTCAACTTACTGTAAAAAGCTGGCACTTTTATCTTTATCCAAAGCTTCCTTTTCCTCCAATTTCGCGTCTTCTTCCTGGGAAGAAATACATTTCAAGATAAAATGAGATCCTTATGAAAAGCAAGGACGTGGTGGCATGTATTTCTGTCTGCGAACCCTCATCGGCTCGTTCTGTAACTCTCCTTTATCGTGACTGGCTGTTGCAATAACTATGGTTGTGACACAGGACAATTGTAACGTCGGTGGTTCACGGTAACCTTGGCCAGTTTTTTGGAAACGTTCGTTACTTACTTTGTATCGCTTAATATTTTTCCCGCGCTGCTCGTCCCGCCACCTAGGAGGGTGCAATGAAAGAAAATTGGTTTTACAAAAAATACGTTAAGCGTTCAAGACACTAGTTGCAACAAAACCTTACTAAGAAATGGGATTTTGTCTCGATTTGTGGAATCGCATAATTCACCTCCCGCTAACCTTAAGATAAGCCTTCTTTAACTCTAAGATTTTTTTTTGCTTGTTTTGCTTGTCGACAACTGGTTGCTATATAACTAAAGCAACCAGTTGCTACACTTTGCATACGCAGGATGACGTTGGTTCCATTTCATTCGATTAATTTTCAATCAGGTGTTGAAAGTAATCCGAGATACTTTACTTCGCTTTAACATTGGTCAAGAAAACTCACGCCATAATCTCAACCACTCGGACGCAAAATTAAAACAAATCGTCACTAGGTCACCCGCGTTTTCCCGCGCTTTAAGCAGTTTGCCTGCATTTTCTTCGTTTCCTCATTGGCTAACGACGATGTTTACCTTTCTGATTGGTACGTGTGATAACCCTCGTTTGGTATCAGAGCAGTCAATTAAAAACCGCTCTACTCTCTGTGATTGATTTGGAAACCTCGCGACAACCTAACTGCCAATCAGATACACACCTACAACCAATCAACACTTGATAACTCGCGTTTTCCCGCGCTTTAGGTCATTCGTTTGTTTTTCCTCGGAATTTTCATTGACGCTCTGGCTTTGGTTTTCCAACACTCGATAGAAAAGCATTCTACAAGTTGTAACTAAAGGAAAGGAAGGCTGAGAAAGGAGACAAATTTCTAGAGTAAACAAGTTCGCCCTTTCATTCCTAAGATCTCATTAGTAATTCTCCTCACTGTCGACCGTACAATTCTTATGATTTTAGTTCGGAGAATTTGGTATCGGTTCAACTAAGAATCCCTTGATTGATATCTTTTTTTATTCTCATCACTTGTATGCTTGATACTGTATTGATATTGTAAGGAGAAACTCTGCCTTGGTCACTTCTGGGAGTTAAATAAAGGGTTAAATAAAACGTACTTAGCATTATCCATCATGGCGGCAAGCCGCTTCTGTTTCTCATCATCGTCCATACGTCTGTTCGAATGAGAAAAAGAAATATAGGAAATTAAAATTCGAGGTCTCCGACCTGTTCATTCACTACGAAAAGAGAATACGAAAATAGCCCTCACTAGGTCATTGTGCTGTGTTCTTGAGGAAGAAACTTTATTTTCATAGAGTCACCTAGGAGTATAACCGAGTACCAGCCAAATGTCAGCGAAACTGGACAAAATAATGGGAGGGAGGGGGGGGAAAGAGTTAATTGCGATAGGCTACACACACTCCTTGGTGCTTGATGCAGAAGACGCCGAAGATAAACAACGGCAAACATCAATGGGCCGCGCTGATTGGCCTTTAAAAATGAACGAACTGAGCTATGAAGCTGGATGTTGGGATAGAAACAAAAAGTGCGTTTTTTGTATAGACTAATCCTGATTGATCTGTTGATGAAAGTTAATGAATCGATCATGGCTTACTTTGTAACTGCCGATCCCCCTTTCTGCCATGGTTTTGCTCTGCGCGGTGAAGGAGATCTCCGTGAATTCTTAGGAGGAGATGGTGAGGGAGAGCGCCTTCTTCTCTCCACCGGCGATGGGACTCTATTCCTTCTGCTCCTTGATGGCGAAGATGACGGGCTTCGTCTATGCCTTCTGTCATCTCTTCTGTCATCTCTCCTCCCATCTCCTCTCCTGCCTTGTGGTGATTTTGATCGAGACCGCATTCGAGGCTTTCGCTTTATGGGAGATCTAAAGATATAAGCCATGTAACGCATTTAATACACAAAAAATTTGCCTCTGCCGCGGAAGTTTTGGTCACGATGGAGAATAGAAAAAAATTTGGCGACCAAATTTACAACGTAAGTCACCAAATTCGAGGCCATTGTTCACCAGTCATTTAGCAAGTTGTAAATTTGTGACATGTCAAAACTAAGATTTATGGTCTAGACTCAAACTGAGATAAACTTTTAACAAAAAAGAAACAACTCTCCTACCAACTCCAAAGACAGCAGTGTGGTCAAAGATTAAGTACATCGTTTAATATTCCACAAAGTTTCTTTTTTCTTTTCCTGGCCACCACTTAATGTTTTGAGGTCGCCAAATGGCGGGTTTGAAAAAAATTGAGCTTGGTGCCATGTTTAAAAACAAATTTAATTCCTTCGTTACCTGTGTCTGTAGGAGAAATGGTCTCCATTTCTGTGTGCCCTTCTTTCATTCTCATCATCAATTCTTCTCCTTCAAAAAAAAAATTCAGATGGCAAAGTTTTTTAGCCTTTATCTGGATCAAAAAGATCTCATTCATGGGATTGCACCTTTGCTCATGCTACTCCTGCCTTATGGAACTTGTTGCCCTTACCAATCAGATCCTGTAGCAGCCTGGCAACTTTAAAGAAACAACTTAGAACATTTCGTTTTAAGAAAGTGATTAAAACGAGATTATGATCCTTAATGTAATGTAAAGCGCTTTTGAATGTGTACACAGTCTTGAGCGATATGTAAATTTTCTATTAATATCATCATCATCATTATTATTATTATTATTATTATTATTATTATTAACTGTTGAATAAATTTCCTTAATGCTTCAACTCCTTAGGGTGACTAGCATCTAATTTCTCCCTACGATATCAGCCCCGAATCACGGATTACGGTCATGAGAAGAAAGGAAATGATCTCCAGATAAGAAGCTCCTGATCATAAAACAAATTCTCTTTGTCAGTAATAAAGAAAATGTCAAGAGAACAGGTGTAAAGGGTTTAGCAAAGTCTGAAGCCAGATGAATTTGGTTTATTACATTCTCCTTCTAAGAAAAATTACCATAGTATTCTGACTGGTTGGCCCTTTCACCCCCAGGAGAGACCAAGAGGTAATTTCTGGTAAAAAAATACCTACACTTAATAAAACAGACAGGTGACAGGGTCCATGGGAGAACAGATAATAGATGTAACTGCTTTTCATAAATCAGCAACTTACCTCTGTGAATATTGCTGATCCCTATGAAAACCATTCCTCATATCCTTTCCATTTTCCTCTGATCTCTTTTTTTCATTTTCTTTTTTTCTGTCTCCCACATCTTCTTCTGAGTCATCACTGTTATCTCTGTGTCTCTCCTTTCTCCTTTTCTTCTTTCCATTCAACATTTCTCTTGAATTCTCATCTGTATCACCACTCCTTTTTCTGTCTCGACCATTTCTTTTTTTCCCATTTTCTGGTGTCACTTGCCTTTCATCTTCTTGTGACTCACTGCTTGTGTCAGCATGCCTTTTCTTTCTCTTTTCCTCTCTTTCTTGTTTACTTTTCTTTTTCTTATCTTTCTTCTTCTTCTTCTTCTTTGACTTTTCCAAATTAGCTTGAAGCATTTGTTTTAACTGCTTCATCTTCACAGGATTATTGATCAGCTCTTTCCTTTTCTCCTCTTCTTTCTTCTTGATCAGAAACAGTGGATCATCTCGCACCTTAGCTGCCAAGTCATTTGCCGTGTTGGCAGCGGTGTCATTCATGAAAGAGGCACCTGGGGCAGATGATTCCTGCAACAGAAATACAAGTTTGTCTTTAGAAGCTAGTAAGCAGAAGAAAGCTGCCTGCAGTCAGATCATTTGTGCTTGCTATTTTGTGAATTGTGATCTAGGACAAAAAATGAGTATTTTTGAACTGATTCTAACATCAATGTCTGACCAAAAAAAGTTACTCAAATATGTCTCAGAATAATGGAAAAAAACAACTCAGAGAGTATAAAATTTCAAATTTTTCTTGGGAACAAAGCCTGGCCCTCCAAGAAGGCCATGTTGCTTTGCAACACACTATGCTTGCTACACAAACACAATGCTTGTATAAGTTGTCAACCCAGTTCAGATCATACATCTATTACATTTCCTACTAACAGCCTTGGAAGAATTCAAAACATAGGGGTGTTGCTAAGAGCCAGCTACAAGTGAATTTCGCAAGGTGAAAAAAAGGCATTCATCAAGTGAACATAATTTTGGCTTTCAGAATTTTGGATTTCTCACAGTTTTTAAAGTCAAAACTGTTCCAGCTTTGCTGCAGGACCAAAGAAATATGATAGATGCTTTCTAATTGATCAAAATTTGTACAATTCTCTGAGTGTTGTAAACCATAGCTTAAAGTTTTTCACACACCTCTTCATCATCCTGTGCCATGGGGTCTACTGCCTTATCAACAGCTTTTCCCAGTAGATACAATTCACGATCCACCTGGCCTGCAGCTGCAGCATACATCCAATCAAGTCGTTCTCCTTTTTTCCTGCGATGCAATTACAAGATAAAAAAAAAAGTTACCACAAGGCATAATTAACAAATTAGATCCCAATCTGGAGATTCATATAGCATGATGGTTGATAGGATTGACACACCAAGAAACTATCACCTATAAAAATCAAGAGAAAAACATTTCATTGTTTTAATATATATCTCCTCTTTTTCCGAATTTAACAAGACAGCCTCATGTTTTCATTTTACTTTTATTTTAAAATTCTGTTAGGTTACTCACTTTCCTTACTACCGAGGAAGTGAGAGCAGGTAGTGCGGCCAATCAGATTGCACCATTTGTGGACACACAACAGTAGATTTACACCAAGATATCATTGGTAAATCTTCCTTGTAGCTGCTATACACTTCCTTTTAAATAGGTTATGATAATTTCATGTTATTTTAAGATAGTCTAGCAAAACGGTCAAGTCTGTCTATTCTCCTCACTTGCTTGAAGAATAACCTACTGAAATTGTGAGGGTAGGTTACATTTGATCGCTTTGGGAGTTAACCCTTGAACTAGCAGAAGTAAATAAAATGCAACTTATAATAATGTAACAACCATACATTATCAACCGTGGCCAAACAAGTAATGAGAGTGCTCAAAACTTATCACGTAGAAGTTATCTTGATCTAACGCCTTTTTATGGGAACTAATTTACAAGGAAGTTTGTAGCAGCTAGAGGAGAGAATTAAAATCAGATCTTCGTGGATTGAAGAACGCAGCAAACTTATCGAATTATCAGAACAAGTTGGTAGCAGTAGGAGTTTTCATGCAGTTAGCCCTTTTCTCTGAAATCAGTTACATCTGTATCTTCTATCCCTTCACTCACTTAGCTATTCCTTGTTCCACTGCATGTCTCTGCATCCCTTCTCTAGCCCTCTCTTCCTCCAGTTCCTTTCGTAGCTGGTCGATCTTTTTCGCCTCCGCTTCAGCCTTTTGCTCTGCTTTCCACACTTTTTCCACATTTCGTAACGTTTGTGGATGCCAGCTCTTCTTCAAATTCTGTTTAAAACAGGAAAAAGAGTCAAATAACAAATAATTTCCATTAAAATATTCTCAAAAATACCTCTTAGAATCTCGATCGCTTGGTATTTTAACTTGAAACTTACCAAATCGCCTCCCCCCATGTTGAAACTTTGACGTTCGTTTTCTTCGCGTCGTGTTTACAGGAAGCGGAAGTATTCATTTTCGCATGCGTCGAAAAATTCATACCCAGACTCCATGGGTAGAAAATAATCTAAGTTTTGATCTGTAAACATTTTTTGACACTTCTTTCGAAGATTTTTTCTAGAAGGACAGCGTTTCCTTGATCAATCCGAACTCATTAATTTTTTAGAGATTTATAGTACGGTAATGTTTAATTTGACGTTCATGTTGCCATGGCGTGCAATCTAATCAAAGCGATTGCTGTAAATTAGCGGTGAACCCCAACAATTTGAATTCTGTATTGAACATGTGTTTTGATGATCGATCACGGAATAACTCGTACCCAAAGAAGAGAACTATGCTGTTCGTTTTCCTGAGACTGCACCAATGACTTCAAATGAAAGCGTAAGTATGGAATGAAATAGTACCTTACCATTTTATTTTTGCGAAAGTTACTCAAAATCGCTTTTTTTTAGGTGAGATTCGATCGAGTCCAGATCGTAGTCTGATAGGATGTACAAGTAACCTTGATTCCATGTTCTTTTTGATGTGGAATCACCCTTAAAGCCTTAAATAAAACACAAGTGTTTCAACCTATGTATTGATTTGACAGTTTTTCTTTTATAATACAAAGAAATTAGTGCTTGGATGAATAGGAAACAAGTTTTGACGAACCTTTTCACCATAATAGCAATTTGGTCTCCTGCTATATAATTATATAGATGTAATTATAAATTATCTATTCTCTCTTCCGTATGTGTTCTCCTGGAATACTCTGTATTTAAAAAAGGTGCGTATGAATCAATAATTCGGTCGACGTGACGATATTTAGTGGACAAAAATTATGTTTATGATAACAGGAAAGTCTTCCTCGCTGTGCCAAATTTGATATTGCCATTTGGGTAACAAGGATGTAGTTGTACTTGAGACTTTTCAATTCTCTTCTTAATCTCTAATTAATAGGAAACATTCTTCATTAAGAAATTATTTTTTCTTCAATCTAATGTTCTGTTTTTGCAAATGGACATGTTTAGTTTGTGTGTCAGAAGCAAGTCATGTTTTTAACGGTTCGTCAGGCCTTTGGCAGGCAATATCATTTTAAATATTGCTTGACAGTGTGTTTTGCAAATATTTAGACTTGAAAAATGTAATTTCCTTCCATGACTATTGCTCAAGATTTCAAAATTTTTTCATTTGATTGGATTTATTGTATTTTTCTATTGCCCTTTCTCTTGTTGTCATCAGTTGATAAAATTTTTTTCAAAAGTACCCAATCATTTTTTTATCATGGTGAAAGTGGCCGAGATATTTAAGGTATTTATTTTGATAGCCAAAGCAAGAAGCAAAAAAAGAGTTTCTGTTTCAACAGGAATGTACAGCCTACAACCACATAAATGTTTTAAAATTTTTTTTTCAGGATGATGAAAATCTGGCACTAAACTCTGAAAGTCATGTTCAGTCTGGTTCATCACAAGATGGTAAATGAATGCACTTTATACTTGCCTTTGTTTCAGCGATTGCCCAAGGAGAAATAAGTATTTGACAAATATAGTTGTTTTGTTTTGCAATTGTGTTATCAGCAGTACTCTTAATTTCATTGTTTGCAACTTCCAATAAATGTCAGAATGTAAGCAACTTTGCACCTACCTACCCCTCCCCTAACCCAACTTTAACCTTAACTTGTTATCAGTTGACTGTTGTTGGGTTAGGGGAGGAGTAGGTGTGTAGGTGCTCAGATACTTTGATCCAAACTTTGTCTCAAGGTCAAGGAAACAGAAAAGACATATTTGACATTAGGTTTTTTTTTCTGGTGGGGGAAGGGGTGGGGAATTATATGAATTTGTATATTCAGTCTGGTGGTTATCAAGTCCTTGATAGGATTTGATGGAGATGGAGACATCTGCCCAACCTGAAGTTGAGGTAGCTGTGACAAATCAAAATGAAATGAAGAGTGAAACAATTGGCTCCCAAACTGGGTCATGATCTATTGCTATGGCTATCTTATAACAAGAACCTTGCGTAAAATAGGTGACAATAAAGATAAGATACAGACTTTTGAGTTTTTTTACAAATAATTGCTTTGTAGGTGTTTTGCCAACCCCTTTGCATGCTGCTGCTGTGAATGGAAACAAGTCTCTTCTTCAAAGGCTACTGCAAGAAGGTGATTGACAATAATTCTCTGTCTATGTATGTCCTGATAAAACCTCCCAGTGTTCTTAAATTGAAGGGCTTCCAATGGGTTACTACCTGAGTACAACCAGTTGGTAAATGGCAGTGCAATGAAAAGCCACATCAAGAAGGTTAACAGGGTTGAAGTGAAGTGGAGGATGATGGCAACAATTGATTTGTTAATAATAATTTTAATCAAAGGTTCATTCATTAAATTGAAATAAGTCTTCTTTTTTATTAGAGGAAAGAAGTCTTATCAATAATGGAGACCAGTTTGGCCGCACTCCTCTGGTGAG